AGATATTACCAGTGACAGAGTTTTGACTGATAACACTGTGGTAGATGGCTGAATAACCAAAAATCAGATAATCTTAGTTTGGGATGGCACTTATCACTGCAGCTAAGTTTACTAATACACCCTAGTTTTATATTGCTTTCATTTTAGACCACTATATTAGATGATTTTGTTTATGGTAATAGAAAACCCAATATAATGTGCCTTAAACATAAAGGGCAGTTATTGGCCTAGGTAACAAAAAAAATTAAAGGCAGAATAGTGATCAAGTGTGGTTCAATCAGAGCTCTGGTTTCATTTCTCACTAATTTTTTGGCTCTGTCCTCTTCTATATGTTGGCTTTATACCCATGCTGGTAGTTAGAGAGCTGTAGCAATTCCAGGCCTTTAAAGGACACCCGACATTTATTTCTTCCTAAAGAGGGAGGACACGTCTTTTCTCAAAGCCCCTATAATACTGCCCTTGCTTTTCATTAGCCTGTATTGGGTCACATACTATTCCTGGACCAATTCCTGTGGCTAGAGTAATACTATGTCTTAATAGGCTTAGATCCAAGTTCCTGAACAATTTTTTTTTTTTTAAATATATTTTATTGATTTTTCACAGAGAGGAAAGGAGAGAGATAGAGTCAGAAACATCGATGAGAGAGAAACATCGACCAGCCGCCTCCTGCACATCTCCCACTGGGGATGTGCCCGCAACCCAGGCACATGCCCTTGACCGGAATCGAACCTGGGACCCTTCAGTCCGCAGGCCGACGCTCTATCCACTGAGCCAAACCGGTTTCGGCCCTGAACAATTTTTGTAAGGGCAATGGCATTACATTCACCAGTATTTTTCAAATGGTGGTGGATCACATAACCCAAGAATGGATCATAAATTTAATCTTTGGGTCCTATTTTAAAAAGTAGATTTGAGATTGCACATATGAAGGGTTAGTACTGTTTTATGACTTTGGTGTTCATACATATACTATACACACCTAGATTATAATGTAAAATCTGTTTCTTAATGTGAATTGGAGTAACAAAAAATTGAAAGCTACTAGCTTAAGACAAAATTCCCCAAGCTGGAGTGGGGTTAGCTTTTGCTTACTTACATACATGGATTATATAAGGGAAGAATGGACACTCGAAAGAAAATGAGGGTATTATTTGGGAGAGGAAATGAGCTGCTGGGGACATAGCAATTTCCACTGCAGCCTGCCTGACACTTTAGTTATTATTTAATATACACTGGATTTCAATATAGTCATAATCAAAGAGATTTTAGTTTTTCCAATGCTTTCTAAATTTCAAAGTGCATCTCCCTTCTGAAAAAGCATGTCCTTCTATCTAGTAAATATTCATGATGAGGCAATTTATACATCTTATTATTTGGTTGGTGGAAAATATTATGGTAAAGAGTCATTGAAAAAGCTTGGTTTCCTCCTGGCAGGCATGGCTCAGTGGCCGGCATGGTTGAGCATTGACCTATGAACCAGGACATCACAGTTCAATTCCCAGTCAGGGCACACGCTCAGGTTGCAGGCTCGATCCCCAGTGTGGGGCGTGCAGGAGGCAGCTGGTAAATGATTCTTTCATCATTGATGTTTCTCTCTCTCTGAAATCAATAAAACTATTTTTAAAAAAAGTTGGCTTCCTAGAAAACAACCATGTATTTAAGTAACTGAGCACATCATACCATTGCGCTAGCCTTTATTTAGGTTTAAATTTTAATCTTATTTGACAAGAACTTTAGGGCTCATTCTATTCTTGTTCAACCCCTTTCATTTAATAAATGAAGAAACTAAGTTCTAGAGAGGATGAACTTATCTAAGACAGTTAATTAGTTGCAGAACACAAGTCTCTTGATACCTGCTTAGAATTCTTTCCATTGTACTAATTAACAGTGCAGTTACAGCAACTTCAAAAGATAAAGTAAATAACAAACATGCTAAATTTCAGATGCACATAGATGATGTTTTTCAAGAATTGTAGGTGGCCCTAGCCAGTTTTGCTCAGTGGATAGAGCGTCAGGACTTGTGCAGGAGGCTACCAATCAATAAGTTTCTCTCTGTCTTTCCCTCTCTCTAAAAATTAATGGAAAAGTATCCTTGGGTGAGGATTAACAACAAAAAAACAAAACCAGGCTGGGGGGGGGGGGGTCAACTGGAGAAAAAGGAGACATGTAAAACTTTAGACAATAAAAGAACAAAACAAATAAAAAAACTAATTGTAGGTGAATTATATTTTGGGGAGTTAAATTGCATTTTTTAAAGCAACATGGGGGCTTATTAAAGAAATGTTTTTGAAATCTTTGAAAGGCAAATAGTTACTGCCTTATCTGTTTTAGTGAGGCTAAGGACTTTAAAGCTAATTTTCATGTTATAGTATGAACTGTATTTCACATTAATATTTCACCCTTTAAGCTAGGGAATTCAATTCACTGAGCACTTTTTGTATTAAAAATTTGCTAAGTTCTGTAAATGATTCAAAATAAGTCTTAGCTATGAGAGTATAATTTGTATATTTACATATGTATGGTAATAGCACAAAACTAACATAGGAAATAACCCTCATTAAGAAATCAAGACAATTTCAATTACTAGACATATAGGGATTAAAAGTGGGAAAGTCCTTTTGGATTGAACACATTAGGGGAATTTTACTGTTTCATGAACAGGCAGGAAGGGTAGCTGTCATTTGAAGACACATGAAAATATTATTTAGAATCTATAATAAAAGCATAATATGCTAATTAGACTGGACAGCCAGATGACCTACTGGAAGAAGCTGGGGCTGTGAGGGCCGAGGCAAGCTACCGTGGCTACAAGGGCCAAGCCCCTTGCATGAATTTCATACATCGGGCCTCTAGTATTCTTATAAAACAGGTGAACAGTTGGCATCAAGAACCAAGTTGGGGAGGGCTGGGACTGAAGAGATTTAGTAGCAGATAGGAGGGTCCCAGTCAATAGACAAGTTTAAATGCAGGAATCTAGACTCTCAGAAGAGGTTAGGGGGAAATCTGTAAAGCACAGAGGTCTTATTTCTTAAGAGGCTGACATCCTGGACAGATGACATAATCAAGGGCTCTGGTTCAGCAATCACCTAAGGCGTCTAGTTACCAGATTTGAGGTATCTATCCGTCAGATGTAGACATTATGGTATTATACATGCTCCTCAAACTAGGGTAGATTCAATTCTGGGATTAGCTGACAAAAAGTACTGCATGTGTTATGATAATGAATCTTTTCGGAAAATTAATTTTACTTGATAGCAATGTAATCCCTGTTTTTTACATATGTATTTTTAAAATAAGCAGTAAAACTTTGAAATAGCTAATTTTGGATGAATCTAGAAAAAGTAACACAAAATTTCAAAGAAATGTTCAGATTTTAGTAGGATGTTTTAGCTATACTTCCAAGTCACCATTTGATGCTATTAGAAAAATTTGAAAGGCAGTAACTGCAAAAAGGAGTCTTTGGAAAAGATCCATTTAAAACTAAGTTCTGGCATTTATTGTGTGACCATGGCCAAATTCAAAAATTGCCTAATCCTTTAGGATTGTTGTAAAGATCATAGATAACATACAAGCATCTAGTAAGATACCTGACATATAAATAGCTGCTTAATAATGTGACAAAGGGGGAAAAGCATGGGCTAGAGATGCTTAATCTTGCTGCCTCAAATGAACTCGGGTCCTGTTGCCTGGAGGGCTTTTTGCATAGAGAATAAAAACTCAAGACTAGAAGTGTGAGTGTGGAGTGAAGTTTAACTGAGACATAGTTGGATATGCAGAGAATAATATACACTGCATATCTATTCCTACTCACCCTGTTAGAAGTTTTTTACGCATTCTCATTTAATCTGAATAACCCTTCAGAGGAGGCAGAATTATCTTACAGATGAGATAACTGGGGTTCAGGAAGGCTCAATTGCCCAATGTTAAGTAGCTAGTTGAACAGTGGAGTAGGTACCTAGATCTAGTGATTCTACCACATCCTGCTGTAGTGAGGGAAGGTACTCCTACTCCCAAAATGGGAGACAGGTATGAATAAGTGAGATTAAATAAATAATGGCTATCTGCAGTAGCTCTTGAGTTGGTGATCTGTGTTGTGTGGTGTGATATGGGAAGAGAAGCCTAGAGACAGGAATGTCAGAAATTTTTCATAGTATTCTAAGAATAAATTGATAGAGGTTTAGAGTCTCATCATCTTCAAGTAAAGTCTCATTAATTTAGATTACAGTGTATGGAATTTGCAATAATGTACATAGGAACTAAGAAACAAGATCTGAAAATATTCTTCATACTTCCTCCCATCTTCCCCAATAGTCCAGCTTAAACCAGAGCCATGACATTCTTAGTGACTTTTGCCTAACAGCCATACTGAATTCTAGGTAACAGAACAATTGAGCTAAAAATCACCAAGAGTAGCATTTAAATATGCAGAATATACACATATAATCCACCACACCCTATTCCATTTATTGTTGTTCACCTTCAACATTCTTTCCTTTATTGAGCATCACTTCAGTAAGTCTTTTTGCCAATAATGAAGACACAGAGCTGGATAAGACCCTATAGGAGCTCAGTCCAACTGGGAATCATGAGACTACCAAACTGTCACAGTTGAGACAGACACAAAAAATAAGGCCAAAATAGAAAGGTAGAGAATGAGAGTACCTAAGATAAATTAAGTTATAGTGCTGAAAAGCAAATAGGAATTAGTCAGGAAGCAAGAAGGGGAAAGAATAGTTTTTTGAGACCTGACAGCATGAAACAGTGTGATGCTTACGAAATGGCAAGAAATTCCACAAGACTGGTGGGCTGCAGGATAGACATGGCTTGAAAGATTAGTAAGGATTAGATCCTAAAGAGGTATGTTATGCTAAGGAATTGGGACTTTATCTTGTGAGTCAAGATAATGATCATGAGACCCTTTGAAATTATGTGAAGAAGAAATACTGATAATACATATTTAAATTTTTGATTCTTTTCATTTTCTTAAAATCTAAGCAATATAAAAAACTTGAATAATTTTATTTAAAATCCCAAAATGCCAGATATAAAGTAAATCATCTTTTATTTTCATCTTATATTTGGTTATCATGAGACATGCAAAACCCTTCAATTTTAATGAGAACAGTGTTTTTGTGTCTTTTTATCACATATCCGCTTAATATTAGGTGTAATGTTGCTAAGTCGGATCCGCATGTGAGGTGCAGCATCAAGCCTTTTCCGATATTTCGTTTTTGTTGCAGCATAATATGAAAATCCTGTTTCACACAGGTGCATTGTAGCAAAAGGAAGAAGTACACGAACTGCACGCGTTGCAATGCTTGGGTACTCTTGAATTAGGCTACTCCAAAAATCATTTAGGGAAAGTTCACTGAAATTTTGTTTCACTTGAGAATCAGATGTTAAATCAATCAGGCTCTCATAGTCCCGTGCTACTAATGAGGCTGGTTTCACAGATACTGTAAATGGATTTCTAACCCAAGCATTATTGTCATTTGTTACTGGAAAATATTTTAACAGAGTAGAGCGCAAACCCCGTAGGTGCTGCACAATGGCACTGCAAATATCTTTATCAACTGTAGAATTAATTTCAGTCAAAAAGTCACTTAGTGTAGGAAAACAATCAAAGTTTTCTTCTTCTACAGATGAGGCCCAAAACGCCAATTTTCTTAACAATGATGACATTTTATCAAATACTGTAAACACTGTCACATTTTTTCCTTGCATTGACAGATTAACCTCATTTAATTTAGTAAAAATATCTGCAAGATATGCAAGTCTTAGGAGCCAAGATAAATTTGTTAAACAATCAGACAGTTGAAAAGCAGAATCCATGAAAACCAATAGTTCACGACGAAGCTCAAAAAGTCTTACAAGAACTTTACCTCGGGAAAGCCACCTCACCTCTGTATTTAGAAGAAGTGCTGTGTGCTGGGCACCCATTTCTTCACATAAAATTTTTAGTAGTCTGGATTGATGTGGTCGAGCTTTAATATAATTGATGATTTGTACTGCCTGATCTAGCACATTTTTTAGAGATGTAGGCATTATTTTAACTGCTAGTGCATGTCTATATAATAGGCAGTGACTACTGGTACTTTCTGGAGCCACATACTTTATCAAGGCGACAGCCTCAGCAATTTTCCCGTCCATTGCCCTAGAAGCATCACTACAAATATCAACACATTTTTCCCATTCAATTTCATGTTTCTGCATAAAACTGTTGATGCAGTTGAAAATTTCTTTACCAGTAGCATTACTTTGCAGAGATTCACATAACAGTAGGTCTTCCTCAATAGACTTATTAAACCGGTAACGAACAAACACAAGTAGCACAGCAAGTCCTGAAACATCAGCTGATTCATCTAGCTGCAGCGAAAACCCATCACAAATTTTCAGTCTACAAACAAGCTCTTCTTCAATGTCAGCAGCTAGATCTTTAATTCGGCGTGCAATAGTACTGTTTGATAGTTGCACTGCATCTATTTTTTTACTGTATTGTTCATCAAACATCCGCATCACGACATCTTTTGCACAAGGTTTGATAAGCAATTCACCAACAGTATGAGCCTCTCCACTCAGGGCTATATGGTAACTTACATTGTACGATGCCTCTGTAGCACTTTCATTATCTGTATTAACAATTTTAGGTGGTGGGGGTTTGTTATTTTCAGGTGAATCAAGATGCTGCTTGAAAAAGCTTATGTCTTTGTCTTTATATGCAGCATGTTTCGTTTCCAAATGTCTTCGAAGCTTACTAGGGGCCAAAGAGCTATTTGATAAAATTTTCTTACATAACACACACTGAGCATGAGGTGCATCTCTATTTCCAAAGTAAGTAAATCCAAAAGACAAATAACTTTCATCATATTTTCTTCTTTTTGGTTTCTTACTAAATGTTATTTTGTTGGAAGTGGACATAAATTGAACCCTGGAAAGCTCATCTTCTGATTTTTTAGAAACTGATGGCTGCAACTGTTCATCTTCACTTTGTAATATTCCAACTTTTTGATCATTTGATTCAGACACAATTTGATAAAATGATTCTACTTCTTGTTTAAGACTTCCTTGTTTCGGCAATAGATCCATAGGCAATGTATTTGTGGTACAAAACATGGTTAGTTTAGAATAAACATTGAGTATCACAAATTTGTTGAAATTATAAGACAGGATACATAGAAGATGAGCAATCATCAAAGAGATGATATATAGCAACACATCAGTTAATTTGTAAATGCTGCCTATGCATCAATGCGCAGATGGAGCATCACACGTTCGTCTATCAGGTGATCTCTCATGCGATTTCCTGGTGCTCTCAGGTATGGCACACCTTTTCTTAAAGGTAGATTATCACATAAAAATAAAAGCTATAGAAATGAGTTTAGTAGTCTTAAACTTATATCTTAAGATAAACTATTAAAAAACCTTTTTTCTCAGAACACTTATTAACTTAAGAGAATATTAATATTCTATAAAACACAATTTGGGAACTACTGGGTTAAGAAATAATAGAATTGATAAGCATGTTTTTAAAGGAACTTGAAGAATACGTCCCATGGCAAGGGTTGGCAAACTTTTTCTGTAAAGGGCAATATAATCAATATTTTTTACTTATTAGCCATATGAACTCTGTTGCAACTCCTCAATTCTGTAGTTGTAGCATGGCAGCAGCCATACACAATATGTAAAAAATGGGCACAGTTGTATTTCAATAAATCTCCACTTACAAAAACAGCATAGGGCATAATTTACCAACCCCTTTTCATGGTATCTTGGAATCTCTTTTAGCTTTCTGATGCCTGTTGCCATTAGATACATTCATTGTTGATACTATTATATATCTGAAGGCTCCTTTCAGGGCTAATAACTATTAAGCTGTATTAAAAACACACAAACAGTTCAAGTTTTGCAAGACATGGAATTCTGCTATATCCTAAATACTGTGTGTTGAAATTGAAAAATAAACTGTAGACCAAAAGTTAGCTATTTCTCTGAACTTAAAATTACATAAGTATTTATATTATCCAAACTGACTCATTCAAAATAATGTATTATTTAATGATTACTCTGCATCTTGTTATACTATAGATGAAAACTTAACCAAGACCTAAAAACATAAACTGTAATTTTAATAGGTTTATTCCTCATATATATATGTTAAAGCATAATTAAAAGCAAGGGTAACACAAATTTTATGACCTCTAAAGAATACTACTAGCTTCATAAGTTAAGATACAAGAATTTAGTGTCAATCCAAATACAGCTACTTTTGATTTACACTTTGACTTGGCTACAGAGTAACCTTTGTATTCTCACGTTAGATCCTGGGATCCTGAATCAAAATGGTTTTCCTATTAATAGCTAGAGGGTAAGATACCTGAAATGAGGAGTACTCCCCTTCTGGAATCACATTCTCCACCTTAGCAGCTTGAAATGTAGACTCTTCAAAAGAATAAAATTAAGGGGTGGGATGGAAGGGGAGTAACCAATAGCCTAGAATGAGAAAAATTAAAATTAGAGACAGTAAAAGCAGCACTAACTACATACCTCTAAGTTGACCATCCATTACAATTTATTTTAGATCCTGGCAATGCAAATGATTCTTCATGCAATGCAGACCTTGGACTGAAACATAAGATGCCTATAATAAATATGCTAATATTTTTGTCCTAGTTAATACCCTGGTAATTTCATTGTTTTGAGATGCTCTTCCATCCAGTGACTTCATTGAAACGTTCAAAAACTAAACCTAACTTTTAAAAGTACAGCCACACTTTAATTGTCTCTAAAACTAAGCACTAAGAGTAATCTAAAATGGAAGTGTTACATGAAATATGCCTTTTTGCTATAACCATTTGTCCCCTCATTAACCAATCTCCAAGGTTACTGATGCATACTGAGTGATCACTGTTTACACTGTGCCAGTAATTGCTAAATCCCTTATAGAACTCATCTAATCCTTAAAACAAACCTGAGAGTCAGGGACTATCAATAACGCCACTTTGGTGATGAACAAATAGACACAGAGAAGTCACCTTTTAAGTGAAGAACTTACAGAACCCAAAAAGTTTGAGTGCAGAACCTACATGCCTAGCCCTTACTTGTATGTCCCTGAATAACCTTAGTTTTCTAAGCACTAAAATATCTGATACCAGAAGTTGGATGGTGCAGGGAGTAATGGGTTACAACTGTCAGAAAGTCGAGGATCTCAAAACTGGCAGCAGCAGAAAGCCCCACTTCTCCATTATTTGGGAGCAAAAAGAGCAGATTTCCTTCCCATAGTCTCTCTTTGGATTGAGCAACAGAGAGCTTCGTGGAGCTGCTGGTGGATCTAACAGATTAGGATCCCTCTCTTCAGCTGCCAGAGGGCACAGCGGAGTGGGACGCCCGTCTTCAGGAAAGAGGGCCTCAACCCCCCTTCAGAGGTGCTTCCCCCAATCTCTCGAGGACTAAGTCTGGACTCCCTAGAGAGCAAAGTTTCTACTCCACCCCCTGAAAAGGGCGGCTCTCTCACTTTTTGTTTCTTCCGGTCAAGCTGAAAGGTAGCACAATCCCTTCACCTCCACCCTCTGGGTTTGGACAATACCCTCAGGGACGAGAGGGCTCGGCAGGCGTGCAGTCCACCCAGAAAGCCTAGGCAGGCGCTGGGTACGGACACCCCTTCCAGCACCGAAATGCTTTCAGCAACGGTCACCTCGATGTTTGGCCGGGGACAGCCAACCCTCAGCTCTTCCCCGTCTCTGGCGTGCGATGCTCGCCGACCGCCACACCTGGGCTCGCTTCCGGTCGGAGCCCACCCTCGCCGACACAAATCTCCTCTCGCGTCCCCGGAAGGCCGCCTCGGCTAACCACCGCATGTACGCGTCTGAGCACCCCACACTAGCTTTCTACTTCGCCTCCGTCGGAGATGGAGAGCATGGTCTAGTGCGGCCAGGCTGCAGGACAGCGCCGCCGTCCCAGCGAGCCCGCGGCCGCCATTTTGGACAGACAGCCGTCGCGGACTGGGGGGGAGGAGGCGAGAGGGGGAAATGAAAAATAAAACCGGGGAGAAGGATTCGGGGGCAGGGTGATGCTCTCAGTTCAGGGACACCGCCTAGGCCACCTCCACAGAGATCCGGCTCGCGGCTGGCGCGGTCGCTCTTCAGAAGATAAATTTAGCACCCTGGAGCGCCTCGAATCACGGTCTCCACGAGCGACTCCTCCGCCAGCCAATCAGCGCCACCGTTGCTCCTCGCCACCAATTCGCGCTGAGCAGTGGGGCGGGAGGAAGGGAAAGGAC